TTTATTTTAATACTGAAAAAGTAAGCACTAATATACAACATTCAAATCTCAGAGGTATTTTTTATTCAAATTCTGATGGCACATATTTACTTCCATATAAAGGTATTTGAGCCACGCGATGCCTCCAAAGTTGTGCACGTCACAGCAAAATGCTTTCGGTCGATGAGGAAAACGGCAGACCCTCACACCCTCAGCATTAATATAGATGTGGACAAGATAACTGATGCCTATTGTTCTTGCAAGGCTGGGTAAGTTGTGCATTCATCGTTTTGTCTGTTACTTTTGAAATCAGTGGATAATTCCTGTGGTTTGTTGGCAAATGTTTGTGTGGCTATCCTGATATGCTGTACTTGGTGCTAGAGTGGCTAACACGAGGAACAGTTTCGTCCAAAGCCTTTTCTGCTAAAATAAAATATTTAGTGTATGTCAGATACAGTACACATTGGACATTGATCTGTTTAGCTAACGTAAGATTGTGTAGCAGACAGGCTTCACGGTCTTGAAGGTGTAAAGTTGTATCAGTACTGCCGTTATGTTGTACTTAGCTAAAAGGTGTTCATGATGGATGCGTTTATTATTGATTTTCTTTTTTTCAGACTTGGGGGTCATTGTTCACATATTATAGGCCTCCTCAAGACCTTGCAGTATTTCAAACTGCAAAGTTTTTCCTCAATCCCTGACCGATTGAGCTGCACCAGTATGCCACAAGCTTGGGGAGCACAATCAGCTCGGGGTTTGAGGATTGAACCCGTGCCCATCAACCACCTCACTCTAGCACGACACGTGACTCACCGCAAGCGCAGACCGAAGGAATGCAGTGTGGACTTGAACAAAATTTATGTAGGTTTTTACTGATTTAGATTTGAAACAAAATTTATGACAAAATAATATGTACCCTAGTGTTGTTTTACAATTCTGAGTGTAACTACAATTGCATGAATGCAAACAAAACCAACACATAAAACTGTTCTTTATTTTAATTACCATTGCAAATTTGACAGCTCTCAAAATTCATTTTCATTGTATTTACAGAGTGACAAAGGCTGAACCCGAGGAGATAGCTGCACTGAAATTATTACATGGTACTCCATTGACATATATGTTGACGCCTTCAGCACCAACTGTCTCGACACCCCTGGGAGAAGTGCAAATTGGGTCAGCTGTTTCCTATCAGGTAAAAATTAATGAAATGTGTACTGAAACAAGACTAGTATTACTGTTCTTACATTTTCTTCAAAACAAAGCCCTGGAAAAGTGTCAAGTAGCAACACACAGCCCATATTCTGTTTAACTTAGGAAATAATATAGCAGGAATTGTACAACCAACAATTTTGAAATCTTTAATGTGAGAAATGAGTCGTTCAACATGCACTCTGTGTCTTGCTATTTTGTCAGTTAGTGCAAGATCTGCCTGAGACAACTGTTTGTCTGCTGAGGCAAAAGGTGGTATGTTTAAGGACAGACCAAGGGCATTTATCTCATCCTTGATTGTAAACCCTTTGTCTGCCATGACACCGTCACCATTCTGAATGTAACCAACGTCCTTCAGTTGTTGTATGGTTTCATAAAAACCACTTGCTTTTGTAATGGCCTTGTCTGATATCAATCCTGTGAATAATTCTGATGTGAACATGAAAGACCCCCGAGAGTCACAACCTATGAGTGCCTTGAATGTTGTGGTAGACTTATAATCGCTATATAGTTGGCATTGCACACCATGGGCCCAGGGGGATTCTGTTTTTAATTCTGTTCCATCAATAATAATTAATGTTGTAGGGAAATTAGCTTTGAAGTCTTTTGGCATGTTGTCTATTATGGTTTGTCTGTGTGGCCAGATAGAAACAGTGCACAGCTTAAGATAAATAATGTCAATCCAAGTGTTAAATACTATACCAGCTGACTGTTGTGAAATGCCGAACCGTGTTGCTAGATCGAACAGACCAAAGTTTTGTCTCAGTCTGCACATAGTCAGGAAAAGTCCATTTTCTGCTGACATTTCTCTAATGTCATTTCTGTTTTCATCATAAGTCAAAGTCTCCCTCTTTGGCAAGAGAAATGTAAATAGTGACATGAAACGGACTAATGTAAGTCCTGTATAATATACACACAGATTTTTTTTGCTGTTCTTCTCAGATTCAACAACAGCATCAATACCAAACAGTTTTCGGTTCTGTTCTTTCTGTAGCTCTGTTTCTAAATGTTCCACTTTTGCTTGCAAGCGACTGATTTCTGTTTTTGCCATTTCCAACTCTGTAGTCACTGCAAGCATATCCAGCGGCGAAATCCCTGAAAACAAAAAATAAAAAAGGACTAAATATGTATATATAGAGAAATGTATATAATGTCATGATACTGCTCTTTTGTTTCAGACAAGGAACTTGAAGGCAGATGTGACAGCGGTCATGCAACAGTGTGGCAACACCTGTGTCACAAATAACCCACCAGTGGATCTTCCAGAAAGATATAAAGCGTTGAAAGACCTTAATATTTGTGAAGATCCTGTGGAACTTGAAGCTCGAACCAGAGAACAGAGTAAATGTTCTGAGTGGTTTGAGGCAAGAAAAAAAAGGCTTACAGCCTCAAATTTCCATCGAGTTCTGGTCAGGAAAGCAAAGGTCACACACAAGTTTTTAGAGTCAATTTTTGACGCTAACTCTGTTTCGGCCCCTTCACTGGATTACGGGCGAAGAAACGAGCCCTTAGCAAAATCCAAATATTTACAGACTCATCAGGACCGGCACTTGCATGAGTGTGGCTTTGTGGTCAGTAATCACTTTCCCTTCATAGGTGCTTCACCCGACGGCAAAGTATGTGATGGTGGCCGATCAGGTCTAAATTCCACCATTCTGGATGCCTGCATGCTACCCAATTTTTGCCTAGAAATGCAACCCAGATTACACAGGATGTGATTTTTGTGATTTTATTGTTTTCACCCACAAGGATCTACATGTAGAAAGAGTGTGGCCAGACAAAGTATTTATGTCATCCATGTTAGGAGTTTTAGCTGCTTTCTATCAAGATCATGCTGTGCCTTATTTACAAAACATGTAGGAACTGGTTATCCTCACTTACAATGTTCATCTGTTTGCACCTCTATCCCTTTGTCTGCATCATTGTTTACTGCAGCATCGTAGGTATCCCTGTAAATAATTCAGAACATTCACTGTGAACTAGATGGTATCTAAACAATTGAAACAACAAAAGTGATTCTGTTTCTGTTTGATGTTCATGTTTGTGGAAAATGTGAATTGTGACACATGATAAATAATAAAATAACTTTGAATCAGAACTGTGTTATGGATGTGTATGTAATTGTGTGTACTAACAAGCTCTCTGCTCTAATCGATGGTCTCTTGTCTTTGCTGTCCTGCCTACTTGCACTTTCCGATGCTCTTTTTCGTGCGCGCCTAGCTGTATGCACTCGCGCTCCGTCTGCTGGTGTCGGATAAGGATGGGACGCTGTTGGCCCATCCCCGCCGACAAAATGCTAATAAATAAAAAGCAATAAGTATTATTGCTTTGCTTTAAGTATTAAAGCAAAGCAATAATACTTACACCAGCACACACTCCCTTGTTCTTGTTGATCCTACGAAGGTTGAGCTGCTCATGTGGTCGTGCACAAGCTTTGATCCAAGCCCGGCATTCTGCTCCTGATTTTGGAAATCTGTGAATTTTCCGACCACAAATACGATCAGGATATCTGACATCACCAGTACAGATACCCCACTGGCAATGCAGAACCATTATTTTTCGATTGTTGATTCAAAAACTTTATGCGCGGTATGCTAGTACAGTAGTAGTCTAGCACTACATTAGCTTGTGTTTGTGAGACGTCTTCGCACGTTGTAGCCACTCTATGACGTAGAATGGGCATCAGCCAATGAAAAGCGGCCCCTCTGGTAAGGTCCATGAAGGCTCAGGCTCATTCTCACCCAAAATCCCCGCTAGTGTTTGAAACATGTCCAATATGCCTTTGTTCACGCGCCGTCCCCACAAATCCAATTTGGCTTTAAATGCAGCTACTTTATCTGCCAACTTGAAGACAGTTGTCATTTTTCCTTGAAGTGACAGATTGAGTTCATTGAGCAGTTTGAATATGTCGCACAGATAAGCCAATTTTGCGACCCATTCTTTATCACTGAAATGTGTTGCCAGCGGCGACTTCTTTTCTGAGAGAAATCTTTGCAGCGTTTCTCGTAATTCAAACACTCTGGCCAGCGATTTTCCTCGGGACAACCATCTTATTTCAGTGTATAAGAGAAGGCGTCTGTGCTCTGCGTCCATCTCCTCACAAAGTTGCTCAAAGAGGCGAGAGTTAAGGGCTTGTGCTTTGACATTGTTAATAACTTTAACAACATCATTCAATACGCTGTTCAGTTCTGGCGGCATTTTTCGGCTTGCCAGCATTTCCCTGTGAATGATACAATGTGTAGATTCACATTCAGGTGCAACGTCCTTAATCCGAGCAGTTAAAACAGACAGCTGTCCGGTCATAGCAGCAGCTCCGTCTGTGCATATGCCGACACAAGAGGACCATTTCAGTTTTTTTTATATATAACCATCCAGCGACTTGAAAAGTTCTGCGGCGGTGGTGTTGGTTGGCAACGATAATGCACATAACATATCCTCATGCACCTCCTCCTGATAAATATATCGCACATACACAAGTTGTTGTCAACATCTGTAGATTAGTCTACCTGGAGGGCGTACCACGGTGATTTATTAATCCTCTCCAACAGTTGTGTCTCAATGTCTTCAGCTATTTCTTCAATGCGGCGAGTCATGGTGCTAGCCGACAGAGGCTCGATATTTTTAACAGCAGCCTCTCCTAGTAGTTCACGGCAAATGTCTTTAGCGGAGGGCAAAATCAATTCTTCACCAATAGTAAATGGCTTTTTAGCCTTAGCAATACGATTAGCGACCAAGTACGATGCTTTCAGGGCATTTGCATTTACTGTTGTGGTGGCCCTCAGTAATTTCTTCTGTCCATCATGTTCTTGTTTTTTTCTTTCAAAATACTCCAGCGGCTTGTCTTTTAATCCGGGATGTTTTGATTCTAAGTGCCGAAGCAATTTTGACGGCTTCATTGCCTCATTAGCAAGCCGGTCACCACATATGACACATAGCGGGCTTGGAATATGACAATCACCTACCGGGATAAATCCATATTTCAAGTAGGACTCCTGGTATTGTCTGTTAAATGTTTTTTTTCTTTTCTTGCAAGTGGTTTCTTCTGCCTCTTCACTGACCACTTTCCCCTTTGTAAAAAAACTTTCCAAAGATAACTGTTTATTACTCATTTTGCCTGTTACTTACTCCCTGTTGGCGCGCAAGACAACCGACAGAATCCGGTTATAGGTTTTTCAAAATAAAAGCTCATTAAGACTCCGATAATACACAAAACGAATATATTTAATTATTTTTTGCGCGGCCCGGCACCAATTGGCCCACGGACCGGTACCGGTCCGCGGCCCGGGGGTTGGGGACCACTGCCCTATACAGTGAGCGATGAAACCCGCATGTCGGCCTATGATAGCAGGAGCCCCGTCTGTAGTCACCGCGACCAGCTTTTCCAATGGTACCCTTTTCTGTACGAAAAACTCCTTCACCGCGTTATAGATGTCAACTCCCCTTGTAGATGTCTTAAAGGGCAGTAGTGTCATGAGTTCTTCTCTTGTGGAGAAATCTTCGAACACCATCCGGACAAAAATCAATAGCTGTGCTGTACTGCTGCTGTCCACGGACTCGTCGCACTGGATGCTGAACCACCTGCACTTGGCCAGATCCCGGTCCAGCTGATCGACCAAGTTACCAGACATAGCTGACACTCGTCTAGCCATCGTAGATGCCCCCAGTTGGACGTCGGAGAGAGTGGAGATTAGATCGGCTCCATTTTTCTCGTCTTTAAGCAAAGTATTAGCAATTATCATCATTGCTTCTTTGACAACCTCTCCGTCTGAAAACGTATTCTTCTTCTTGATCAAAAATTGTGTGGGTCTAAACGAAGCTTCAGTCGCTTTCTCTGACTTTTTCGCCGGCCTTGTGAAAAAAGGCTGTTGCTTACCCAAAGCTGCCTTTAACTCGCAGGCTTTTTCTGCCCGTGGTGCGCTTCCTGGTGGGTAGTTAGCATGGTAGCTTTTGTGGCACGAAGGTAAGTGTCTCTCCACATTGTGCCGCTTTACCCTAACCCCGCAAATCAGACACACGCAGGTTTCTTTTACAGTCGTAAAAAAGAACTCCTCCTCCCATTCGTTGTGAAAGTGATACGTTTTCTTTCGTTTTTCTGTCATGTTTTTGATGTAAGAGACTTACTCCGCTGCGCCCTCTAGCTTACTCTCCACTGACACGTGCACAATACTGACCTTTGAACTAGAGAAAACTTAAACTTAATATATAATGAACATATTTTTAAGATATTGCCATTTTAAATCAAATCTATATGAATGCAAGTGTGATTAAAAAAGAATAGCAACGGAACAAAATTAAATTTTAGACGCAGCTCACAATTGAGTTGTGCTATTTTTAGAACAGGCCTGCGGGTGACTCGGGTGGTCCTTGCGGGCGACCTGGTGCCCGTGGGCACTGTGTTGGTGACCCCTGCTGTAGGGTAACATTGGACTACTGTGCACTCACTGTGTAAAAAAGGATGCCAATGACAAAATGATGAACCATTTGAAACGTGTAGAAATCCTGTCAGAGAGGATGAGAAGGAATAAAGATTAGACAAATCTTGCACAGAATAGTTTTATTATTATTCATAATAAATTGAAGAAGTTCCTCTCACCTTACTAATTTACAAGAGCAGCTTTGTCAGCAACACACTCTTCTCAGCCGCCTTATCTATCGCTGTGTCTGTGTCCAGTGCCATGAGGAGGTCTTTTTCAGTGGCCATCAACATAAATGCCTCCAGCTTGCTTGCAGACAGCTGGCTCCTAAGTCTGGACTTGATGAACTTGAGCGTAGAGAAGGTTCTTTCACAGGCCACTTGGGTAAGGGAAAGGTCAGCAAGAACTTATAAGCAAGCCCAAGGAGATGATAAGCATCTGAGAACATGTTAAGCCGCTGTAGAATCTGGTAGTAGCAGTGGGCAATTTTTACAGGAAGCACAGGTTTTACCCACTATATCCGTTTCCTCTTGTTGTCCTTTAGCTCCATCTTATACTGTTCTAGTCATGTAATCTTCAAGATGGGATGCTTTCAGTCTGTCCCACTGTCCAGCTAAACATATCAGCTTTGATTGGAGATTGTCCACTGTTGCACTAGTGCTGAATTTCATCAGACATCTACTCAAAACTTCCAGAGCATTGTTGGGCAGAGTAGTGGTCCGGAGCTGTTCAAAGTTCCTGGGATCCAGCCATGCTAAATCGGCCTATAAACCTTCTATGAATAGCCTCAAGAGCAGTGTCCAGAATTCTGTTGTGGACTTTGACTTCAAATGCTTTCTCAGCATCAGTTAGAGGCTCATCTTGAGCCATTTCTCCTGCTCTAGTTTTTTTTTCCTTTCTCGTTTCTGAGGCAAGCAACTTTCAATTTCAATGTCCGTTTCCTCCTCTCTTTTTTTTCAATATTCTCATTTGTCCATTGCACAAAAGTATCTGCTGCAGCTTTCACACCTGAAAAATCTCTAGCAATGCTTTTCAGGTAATCACCATACGATGGGCTGAAAGGATATCCATGCCTTCTGTCTGGAGATATTTAGACAGGGTTGTTGTTTGTTCAAATATTTGCAGGAATATATGAGCAGTTAATATAGTTTCATATTTCAAGAGGCCCTCTTTCAACCCTCGTGCTTTGGCTCGTACTGATGCTTTTTTGTGAGCTTTGTTTTCTATGGATACCAGAGTCAGGACCAGTGGCGACTGGCCCATAGGGGGCGCTCGGGCGCCGCCCTCCCTAGAGATGGAGGGGAAAAATCATAACATAATTTTTTTCTTAAAGTATTATCAATGTCAGTTTTACTTAATAGTATGTGGCTATGTGTAATATGAATTATTAAAACAAAATTTCCAACAATTGACTCTCATTCAACAGTGCATTTCCTCCCACAGAACGTATCGTTCCTCTCCTGGGGCGCTAGCCCCAAGCGCCCCTGAAGTGCAGCGAAATAACCAATTGAATAATGTTGCTAGGGAAAATTAATAAATATTCGGCAAATCAGCATCGCCGAAATTATTGGCTTTGGGGCGCCTGGAACTGGCGCCCCTGCTACCACAGACGTATAGCTAGTGGTCAGTCAGGCTGTGATGTAGAGATGACGGCGACGACGACAGTTGAAGACCAGCTTTCACATAATTCAGTGAGATCTTTACTGAGTTACCCTTTCGTGAGAAGGACGATGGTTGAAAAAATCCATGTAAAAGAGCTGGGACCTGAAAAGCCCGAAATAATTGTAACGCAGCGAACCAATGAAAAAGCTAAGTCCTACAGCCGGCCTTTAACAGGAGTTGGCTCCAGCGTAAGTCCTGGCTGACAGCCTGTGGGACGGCCAATGCACTTTTATGTTTTCCCTTCATCCTTTTTAAAAGTGACTGGAGTGATTTGACGTGGAAACAGTCTGGACAGACAGACTTAGAACACCTCTCTGAACCATTAGGAAACATGAAAGATCACAAGTTCATATGGAAAACTGTGTTAAGCTAACCGTTTTAAGCTAACCACCTGTGTGCCTACTTTGTGTGTTTGGTGACAAATAGTGAAATTGAGCGTTGTATTATATACTGTTCCTTTCCAAAATAAGACCTAATATAGCTTTAAATGGTTGACTGTATATGTAAAGTGCAAATTCCGATAAAGGAATTAAATGCTTATTGTGGAATTGTAGTAATTTTCCGACTTTTAACTTGAATGCATGTACTGGGTTAAGTAGGGAAATCTATTGGCACACCAGCCCCACCAAGATTTTTGTCACCAGCCGTCACTGATGGCAACAATGTTTAGCACTAATATATTAAAAAAGTACAAGTATGTTATTAACAGAAAAAATGGTTAACCTCATCAATAAGAAAGATCTGTTTCTGCACAACAGCTGTGAAAATGCCAAAGAACACTCATGAATGTGGAAAAAATAGCAACACTCAGTGGAAAAACACATTAAAATGTGACAGTCAGTAATCTGAAAGTTAATAAGCGATAGCTGAAAGTTTTTTTCCCTCCAAAAAAGCGGCTTGTGACATATTTTCCTGTGTTACTGGAGACTGGTGAATCCAGATGAAAGATGCAAGACTTGGCAGTTACTGTCCTCAGCAAGCAGCCATTTTAAAGAAGCCCCTCCCACTTCTCACAGACACTCAGTCTCACAGGAGCCTGGTGCAGCAAAGCCACCTGCAGCCAGAGAGAGGAGAGCCACTCCACTCTGAGTCCACTTTGCAATTGAACCACCCATGCACAAAAGTCCTACCGATCTACTGTGGATGAATACAGTTTTAATGCAACTTTTAAATCCAAATGAGGTGTTTACGTCACTTAGCAACCGTTAAGACAGCCAGTAGCCACTTTCCTTACTGAGGAGTTGGTAGCAGTGGTGTGTGTGAGTGTGTGTGTCAGTTGGAACAGCTCTCTCTCTCAGTTATTCTGCTATGAAGAGTCAGTAAGTCTGGACGAAAGATGGCTCAAATCTCTGTGCTTTGCTGAAAACTGGAACTCAAGGTGTGCATGATTTTACACCAACGGAGCAATGAGACTTTGCTGATTATGACGGAGTTTCATTTGTCTTTCTAAGAAAATAAGTTTAACAAAATTAGAGCATATTTAATGGCTGTCTTTTCAGGTTTTGAGGCTCAAGTCTTCTCCTTGGTTGAGCTGCTTTCTGTTGGGCAGCTGGAAGGTATCTCTTGACTTTGAAGGCTCTGGTTTAAAAAATTAAACCCGGAATGGTGTGAAAGTTACAATGTGAGAAAGAGGATAAGTTTTCCTCCATTTTTCTGTAAAAATAATTTCTGTGAGTTAAAGATTGTGGTTACAGTTGCAGTTTAAAAAAATATATATATATAAAAAGATTTCCCTGCATTTCTCCAGTCAGTTGGAACCGGCACTTTGTACCAAAGTTCCGTACCGTAGGAGTCCATTCCACACTCAGAAATGACTGATGGAAGAATTTTGAGTATTGAAAAAATGCTAAAAATACTTTAAGGAGCTGATACACATTAAAATAGCTCAACGCCTTGAAACCATTGTTAAAGTTGAATTGCGTCTGAAGATATGCTGAAGTAATAAACTTTGAAAGTGTTAAAATGTTTCGAATGATTTGAGGGATTCTTCATTCAAAAATGTAAAAAGCTGAGAAAACTTGGGGGGAAATGTTTGTATTTTCGGCTTGCCTTGTTTGCAAAAGCTTCCCTCATTTTCTTGAGGCAGGCTTTTAATAAAGAGTTCTTTCAGTCACTCCATGAGTCACAGAGGGAGTGAAAGTCTAAAAGTAACACACAAACATCTAAAAGTAACTGACAAACGTGTATAAGTAACGTACGAAAACACCCGAAAGTCACTGACAAGCATCGATCTATAAAGATCTGTCTGTATGGACATATTTACAAGCACAGCCGCTCAGCACACAATAAACTGGCCTGTGGTAGCTGTGGTAACTCTGCAGGACGCCCGATTGGAAGCAGAAGGCTGGATGTGAAATGTAAATGTGGTCTAAAAGGGTGTTGTGTGTGGTTCCTAGTGTAATCACTTGTGTGTACCCCCGGGAGTGAAGCAGATCGTGTATGGCTTTTTTATCTGTGGAGAGCAGGTCCTCATTAAAATCCCCACAGATGACGACAGGTTGGAGGTTCATATAATCTAAAGAGTCTAACAAATGCCTCATCTGGGGCAGAAACTTATCCAAGCTATAATTTGGCGGCCTGTAAACAGTTGCAATAAGTGCGGTAACAGGATCCTGGACTTTCACGACGACAACTTCCAAATCGGTAACACTCTAAAAACCTACGTGGCTCAGCTTGAAGGTAGGGCCTGCAGTAAACCACGACTCCACCGCCATCTTGAGCAGCCATGTGTGTGTACGTGCTGTATGAAGTGTTCCTGTTCCTATTGAACAGGGTGTAGCCCTCTAAGTGAAAAAGAGGGGCGACCGAAGACCCGGACAGGTGAGTTTCCGTCAGGAACAAGAAGTCGGCCAGCGGAATCTCGTGATGACGTTTTACAGCCGCGATGTGGCTGGGCAGCCCCTGGGTGTTGTGGTGGACGATGGTCAGCATGCTACGTGTGGTGCCTATGTGTTTGAAACGGTGAAGCAGCGGTCTGATGTGCTCGAAGGAAGTGAGTCTTCCAGTGCAGTTGTCAAATGAGGATCGCCGTAGATCTTGTCGTCATTAAAGTGTGTGATGTAGAGCCCCTGCAGTGACGTTGTCCGGCTCAGGACAATGTAGGCCATGCCCAGTTCCAAAATACGCTCTAAGCTAACCACAGCTGCCTGCATCGTCATGCCTTGGATCTTATGGGCCGTGCAGGCAAAGGCCAGTTTCATGGGAAACTCCCTTCTGCTAACACCCTTCACGCTCATGCTCTCCTCGGACCGTTCGACGTACGCCAGATCGTCCGAAGGCCCCACAATCGTTCTGCGGAACCTCTGACCCGCGATGGGATTGTTAAGCCTGAGCCCGATTAGCTTGACCGAGTTGGGAAACACGCCACGACTATATGCGCGATGGTGCCAAAAGTCCCATTTACCATGCCGCCCTCCACGTCCAGATTTCTAACAATCATGACGCGAACACCCGTTGCTGCCTGGATATTGTCCAGTAAATCCCTCTTCTGGCCCTTCAACGAACCGGCAGATATCATTACATTTCTTATAATCCTATGCCTTGTCAATGGTATCAGGGCAGCAACCGAGGCCGAATTGTGGCTACTGACCTGTTTGTTGGTTGCAAAAATGTGGAGAACGTCCACAGAACAGTGTGCGGGTTGCAGACTGCCTGAGAGAGCAAGGACATATCCTGCTCCTTCGTGCCTGTAAATGCCGTCAGTAACACTGCAGGCAGAGACATGTCCCCCTGGTTTTGGAATCGCGGACGCTGTCTCAGGACCTTTGTGGCCTCCTCGTGTTTGCATTTAATGACGTGGGACTTACTTCAGCCTGCTTCTCCAGACACGAAGTAGAAGAACTGCTCAGGATTGTTGCCCCAGACCAGTCTGTAGCACCAGTCCTGAACAGAATAAGAAATGGATGCCTGCGTTTCATTAAGGGATCTGTTCATCTTAATTATCACATCTGGGCTCAGCCTCGGCACCACTATGGCTGGAACGGTGGGAGTTTCCACAGGCAGATATTCAGGGACGTTTTCTCCCTGAATATCTTCAGGGGACAAAGGCTCTCTCTCCGCAGCACAATCCAGCGCATCTGCCTCCACCTCCGGAGCATAACAGTTCCAGGCGTTGATCACGGGACCTTGTTTCCGAAGGTGCTCCATGACCTGTGACACACTGTACAAATCAAGGTGGGTCCTTCCCAAACCTGTTCAAGGAACGCTGAAATTGCTGCTTCTATTACTTCACTTACCTGAGGCTCTTGAACATCACCACTGACCTGAGCCTCCTGCACCGCGTGGCTCAGCTGAGGCTCCTGCGCAGCACCACTGAGCTCTGGCTGCTGCACACTGAGCTCCGGCTGGGCCTCAGGTCCACCAACCTGCACCTGAACAACACTAACAGCAGGCTGTATTTCTCATTACTGCCTAAACGTCACTTGGCTCTGGTTCAGGCAGTACACTCAGGTGACAGGGTCTGGAGATGTACCTGTATCTCCTCTGGTTCCTCAGTGCACACTGCAACTTGTGTTGTGTGTGGAATAATGGATCTAAATGCAAGCGGCCCCTCTTCTGTTGTGTGCAGCGCTCTGTGTTGCTGTCTAAAGACAGGGTCACTGTGATACATAGTGTATATGTTTTGTAGTTTCATTTTTCTGTAAATGTCATGACACTTATACAAATTGGTACTATAAACTCTCTTATTAATTCTGTATGAGGTATTTTCTAAATAAAAGATGGATTTGTGTTGTATCTATGTATTATGTACTGTTTCTGTCTGTAACCCTTGTCTGTGTTGTATGTATTGACTATGTACTGTCTACGCTGATATGAAAGATCAGTTTTGTATTTTTGGACACAATACTGTTTCTTTTTGTTCTTAATAACAGCATCACTTTGGTATATCTTAACTTTGTATGCTCTAACTTTATCTTGTGTACTGGCATAATGATGTTTGGATAGTGAAAGTCTTTTCTTTCTGTAGAGTGCATCGGCTCTATATCTGTGTTGATGTGTCTGTAGTTTCTTGTTCCAGTGCTCTGTACTGCTGGCATACTGCTGTTTTTCACAAAGGTTTTTTCTCCGTTTTAGGTCAGCAGATACCGTTTCAGGTATGGATTCATTCCTAATGCGACGATGATTTTAAAACTGATTTTAAAACTGCCATATTTTAAAAACGGCTGAATTTTTTGAAGAGAAGTGTGAAAGGGATAAAACTATAAACAGTTAACATTTAATATCAAATAAAATCAAGGAGAAAGGTTGAAGTTTTGTAAAATGTATTAAACAAAAAACACTAACAATCCTGGGGGGCCTCCAACACTTTTAAGGTGGTGATGACACCCCTGACAACAGTAACGCCGACAAAGAGCCTCCTCTTCTGGAGTTCCTCTTCATAGGGCCCCCAGAGGGACGCCTCTACATTGTATTGGACATCGTCTTCCACTACAAGGTATAGGCATCCTTCTTCCTCGCTTTCAAGTACGCCGAGGACCTCCACAGCGGTTAACTCCTTCACCAACGGAGCCTGGATCTGTAAAGAAAAAAAAACTCAGCATGTCTGTAATATATTGCAGCAAAGCTAAACATTCAGCTTTGCTTACCTCAACTGCAGTGAACACTGTGGACTGCAGCTGGTCCACAAAGGCTGCGGTTCCAAAGCGCAGGTGTGAGAGCCGCACCTGCGCCCCTAGCTCCACCTTGTGGACGGCTGCCTCCCTCCACAGCGCCACCTCAATTTGGTCGTCACCCTGTTGACAGAAAAAGTTCTGGTCAGACATATGACACAGTAGTGGTAAGAAATCAATCCAAGTAGCTCTATTTACCTCCTGAAGGTGCACAGTCCTTTTGGGGACCTGCTCCCTCCCCACCGAAATCTTTTTAACTGCAGAGATCTAAAAAGAAAAACAATTAAAGACATGTAAAAAGAACAAAAATAAGGACAACATGGCAAACGACCTCTTTCTGTTCATGAAATGAAGCACATAGAAGATCAGCAGTGTCATGAAAGGCGATTCCTGATATTACAGCTGATTTAGGAAGGTTTTCTCTGATATGTACTTAATTGTCTTGCATCTACTTTAAAATGCCTTCATAAATAGAAATATGGACATTTAAATGTAATTACCTCAACCGCCTGGCCCTCGACCGTCAACAGTCCCCTCTTCCCCCTGACCTGCCCAATATTGGTCAGGCTTGATGGGGGGAAGAGGGCCGACAGGGCCTCCCCAGCCAGCTCTTCAGAGACCGCCACAGGAGAGGTTCGGAGAAATTGTGTGTCCCTCGTAATGAGCAGAGCATAGGGAGGGGACTGGCCCCTGAGGGAGTAACCCCTCATCAGGTATGAGCCGTCTGCTTTGATTTTGGAGGAAAATTCCTCGAAAAGGGTCACCTTAACAAAGTGTTGGCCATCACTGATGGCCAACACTTTGTTGAGTTTGACCGCTTCGGGTGGCGGTCGTCTCTCCAAACTCCAGGGACAGGACCCGCGTCTGTTCCCTGGCCGCCAAGACGCGGATCTTAAGCGGGGGGGGGCCTGAAATAAGGTCCGTGGACCTTGTCCTGGAGGACCTCCCGAATAGACATTCTGTGAAGAGGCGAAACATACGAGTTAATATAAGGGTTGTCAAAATGATCGATACTCCAAAAAGTATGGATACTAAACAGCTGTACATGGATATCTTACTCATTTTCAAAAGAGTCAATACCACCTACGCCGCCCCCCGCTGACCTGCCGACGCTCTCTGATTTATTTTATTTATTTACGTTGTTTATGATCATAAACGTGACGTTTTAACCTGGAATTGCTGGCTGCGGCTAATGGCTAATATTAACACGCCAACATTAATCAAGTCCCCAAAAACAAAAACAAAAAACGTCAATAAACTCGCAATATTATTTAGGAAAATAGCAAAATTTTACTCACTTACTTTTCT